GACCAAAAATCGTATGTTCTCCCTCATGTGCGGACATTAGATCAAGGGCAAACACAACAATGGGATTGGACTTTGAGCACATGATAAAAGCGAGAGCACACAAGGGAGGGTGAGGATAGGTAAGACACCTAAAAAATTAGCTAGCATTTGTTGCCCTTAACGCAGAGAAACTAAAGCAGATACCTTAAAAGCAACTGAGGCCAATAGGAAAAGGGGACCAGGAACTAGAGAAAAGGTTAGATCAAAAGAATTAACCTAGAAGGTAACACACACGCACAGAAATCAATGTGAGTCAACTCCCTGTATAGCTATCCTTATCTCAACCAGCAAAAACCCTTGTTCCTTCCTATTATTGCTTATACTCTCTCTACAACAAAATTAGAAATAAGGGCAAAATAGTTTCTGCTGGGTATTGAGGGGGTGGGGGGAGAGGGAGGGGGCGGAGTGGGTGGTAAGGGAGGGGGTGGGGGCAGGGGGGAGAAATGACCCAAGCCTTGTATGCACATATGAATAATAAAAGAAAAAAAATAGATAAATCGAAAAAAAAATGGTGCTAGGTTCAATAACACTAACACAAAAGAATCCTAAGAGGAAATGAGAAATCTCTTTCTGGAGCTTACTGAGCACAAAAAGAAAGCAGAAGAAAAATTGTCAATGCATAGAAACATACTATGCACAAGTTACACCTAGGTTGTGCACAATCAACACATTGCACTTCACACATTGTAACCAAGAAAAGCAGAACCACCAAAAGCACACCTCCAATTCATCCCAAGTGTGACCACTCCTCACCTCCATGATCATTTTAGAGCAAGCCTCCATCATATTTCATCTGGTGATGGCTACAAAAATCACTGAAATATTTGGCAAATATTTTACTTTATCTCTTCTTTATAATGAGCCAAAATCCTATCAAAATCCTATGTTTGCTCTTCTCCCTCCATTTATATTTTATTTCTATCTAATTGCTTGTGATATCTGTTCAAGCCCAGGTCTTTGAGAGACTCTCTTATCCTTACCATGCACTGCAGGTCAGAGCTGATAGTAAACAAACACAAAGGAAAGGAGGCTGGGTATTGTGTAAGTGAGATCTTTGCCACCTTCTACATCTCACAACGCAAGCAAGTTGGATGAGGAAGACAGTTCCTAAGGGCACCTTAGTCTGGTAGGTTTGGAAGAAGGTAGGCCCTGAGGATTACAGAGAAATTAAATTTTAATGATCCATCTGGAAATGTTACATTTAGTGAGTCCCAAAATGCTAGCCGCATCTTTTGGGGACCAGAATAAATGGGAGCGATTCTGAACAGGGTCCGTAAACCAGGGAAAGTTCAGTTTATAATGCCCAAGAACTGATATGCTTTGGCCCTGAGCTATGGAGGAATTTGTTGCTCTTCTCAGTGGTGGTGCTGAGGACCTAAGGTTAACAAGAGTGATGGGGCTATCTGGCATATAGGGAAGAAGGTGAACAAAAGTCGTGGTAGTTGAGTGTAGCCAAAAGTCACAACTAGGATATAACACTGAGCAACCAGGAACTCACAGTTTTGCTTGGCTGTGTGGTTCACTTCCCTTTCTGCTTTACATATTGGATCCCATATGCCACAACAATGAAGAGTAACAACAAATGACCCCATTGCAATATATAGTCTCATTCAATGTGTCATTGGCTTAGAAACATACTATGCACAAGTTAAACCAATATGTACAGTTTTGATCTTCTAGGTAACCTGCTCATTTCTGAGGACTCCTTCAAACAGCATTAAAATTTTAATCCTCTTTCCCTCCTTCTGCCTTCCAATTCACTAAGGGACACCTCCCATCCTTCTGAACTTAATATCAGAGATGATCCTTCATTGTATCCTTTTGCCATTCCAATGCAAATTTACAGGCCAAGTCATTCTTACTGCACAGTTGGTTGATACATCCTCAGAGTTGCCATTTTTGTTCTGTCAGACATCATGGCCCACTGTTGACCTGAATTTCTGTGTCCACTCCAAGAATATTGGTGCAAAGGTTGTCATAGTCAAAATGTGGTGAGTTAGTATCACAAAGTAAAATAGAATATATTCCAGAAATTGCCCAAAGAGATATGGCCCATTGTGAACTTTATTTCAGAAAAATCATGTAAGCAATGAAAGCCAGGAAGAGAGCTCCCACACCTCTGGGCTCCTATTGATTGTGGGGCAGCATCAGTCCTGCTTTCCCAGAGTGTCTAATGTCAACTTGTTTATTATGGAGTTTGTTTGTCAACAAATGGCAGGTCTGTGACATAACAACTTACAGAATACTAACTTTGAGGTCACAGTGTCTAGGTAGTAAATCTTTTCACTCATATTTATGAAGCTAATCCTATTCTATGCTCTGAAAGATCAGTTTTGGGAAAACTCAAATGATTCCTCTGTTCAATAACTTTTTCAGCTCGTTGAGGACACAAAACTATAATTCACCAGGAATTATGAAATGAAAATGATCACAAGACAGGTAGAGGTCTATGTTGTGTCATATACACGAGATGCTAAAGATGTGGTTTCAGCAAGCAGAAGGGACCATGAGTGTCCTGTAGGGAAAAATGGTGAACTGAGGGATGATGACCTAAATCTTTCAATCCAGCCTTACCATACTCATTCCAGAAAATATCACCTTCTGTCTTTTTCATGCCAATATTTTCACAGGATTCTGCTGAAGGAATCCACTGGCCCTGCAAGCTGAAATGCACCCATGCTTCCAAAAGCATCTCCTTCCCAGCAAGGCCACCTTGATTATCAGATTCATGTATGACAGTTTTGAAAACACCACTCTGGCAAAAGTTACACTGACATTTTATCAAACACCATGAACATGGAGGATGGAACAGTAGGAATGCAAGTATGGGACACAATAGGTCAAGAGTGCTCAGGAGCTTGGTTCTTGGATGCATATTTGACTTTGGCGAGTGCTGTTTATGACGTTACATATGGTAACTCATATGAGTGACCTACCAGAATTTCCAGAATTTCAATTTAATTTTCTCATGCATTCTATGCTTTAATTGAATGTTTTCATTATCTTCTTTAGTTCATTCAACTGTTTGTATTCTTTGAAGTATTTATTGGTACCTTTTAATTTTGATATGACCTATCAAAATTATATCATACTTATAATCATTCTTTTAATTTTTTTGATGTTTTATGTACTTCTCAGTCATTAGAGTCCATTATTATGGAACTATGATTTTTGGAGGAGTCAAGTTGCTTGTTTTTTCATATTAATTGTGTTTCTTCATTGTGATTTATGCATCTAAGGCCAAGTCATTGGTTTAAGGTTGTCATCCTATGAATTCTTTTTGTTGAAGTACTCTCAATTTTTTTGTCAAGACTTGGTAGTGTAGGGTTAGGTACTGTTTCACACCACTGGACATGGTGTGTAGCTTGTTATCCACACATTCATCATGTGATCATGTCAATGACCCAGTCCCAGCATCCCTAGAGGGCTGGGGGTGTGGCTCAAGTTGTGAGTGACTGTTTAGCAAGAAAATGTCACTGAGTTCAAACACCAATACTGCCAAGAAGAAGAATTTAAAAAGAAAAAGAAAGAAAGAAAGAAAGAGACAAAGAATAAAGAAAGAAAGGAAGAATGAAAACAAAACCAAACAAAATTACATGGAAACTCTCGCATTTCATGATTTATAAGTTGGTATTTTATGTGGTCTGAGGGAAGGGAGGACTGGTTGACTCTCAGTTATTTGCTTTAGGTATGCATTTAATATAGAAGTTTCCATTTTTTGTGTACTGTGATCCACTGTTGGACTCAAGGAGCTTTGCAGTGTATGGGCTGAATATGTACTCACTTATTCCAGCCCTTTGCAACCCTCCCCCATTTGTGCCCTAAAGAACAGGAAGCATTAAAGTTTAGGACCTTATGATAAATTTATCAGCAAGTGGGGTAAGTAACCTAGCACTGAGTTCTATCCTAGAGGGGAAGAACTGGAGATCCCTAACAATTTGCATGATGGTCTTAGTGCATTCAGACTTTGCTAGCAGTTAGCTACCCTGTGTAAGGTCAGAGGCTGAAGAAATCAAGTGAACTGAAAGAACTTTTGTCAGTTTTACATGGCAACAAGCATTTTGAGCAGAGAGGAAGCTCTGGAGCCATCTGGAAGCCACAGGATGAACCTCTGTTTCTACAGTCATATCAGGTTATAGGATTTACTCCTTGAAGAAGAGGGGAGCACATAGGGTCCACACCCATTGCACCTTCACTGCCCAAGCCCCGTATTTCTTAAACTCCTCAGTGAGTTCACATCACACTGACTCTCTCCAGGAAGTCTCTTCATACTTCCTAAATTCCTCATTGCAACAAAACCCTGAGCTTGGATAAATGTTATTCCCTTCTGTCTTCTCTTCCTCCTGTATGTACTTACTGCCACACTGTAATATTTAGAAAGCATTTGGATTATGGTTTTGAACAGACAAATGTTTTCAAATAATCATTATGCAAAATACCTATGGTATGGAGAAGTATAGTACTTTTATAACAAAATATCATTGATAAAGATAATATTTGACACTTCAGATTTATTTTCATATGGCATGTCATGCATCAATTCAATGTAGAAAAAAATAAAACTAAGCAGGTGCACAGTCAAAAGGACCATCTGGGGACACCCAGCCATTTGGAGTAAGAGCTGTGTGGTTTCTGATCTAGCTACAAACTTTCAGTGAATTAAGTAATTAGACAAGTGCTGATCAAGTAAATTTTCTAGGATAATATGGATGATTCTGTTGTGCCATTTGCTACATATACCTATTGAGGACTTGAAATGTACCTAGCATAACTGAAGAACAAATCATTTAATTTCATTATACTTTGATTGAGAAATATGCTGCTGGTTTTTCTTTAATATATAGGATCATGTTGTCTGCAGATAGGGATATTTTGACAGTTTCTTGACCTATTTTTATTCCTTTTATTTCTTCATATTGCCTAAATGCTCTGGGTAGGAATTCCAGGACTATATTGAATAGAAGTGGGAATAGTGGGCACCTATGTCTCATTCCTGATTTTAGGGGATATGGTTTCAATTTTTTTCCATTAACTATGATGCTGTCTATAGGTTTGTCGTGTATAGCCTTTACAACGTTGAGGTACAGTCGTTGTATTCCTAGTTTTCTTAGAGCTTTTATTATGAAGTGGTGTTGAAGAATTTTTCTGTAACTATTGAGATGATCAGGTGGTTTTTGTCTTTGCTTCTATTAACGTGCTGTATTACATTTATAGATTTGCCTATGTTTAATCATGTCTGGATCCCTGGGATTAAGCGACTTGGTCATAACGAATGATCTTTCTCATGTGTTTTTGTATTCAGTTTATCCTTAATTTATGGAGGATTTTTACATCGATGTTCATTAAGAAGATTGGCTGATAGTTCTCTTTTTTTGGAGGTGTCTTTGTCTGGTGTTTGGATGGGTGTACTACTGACTTCATTAAATGAGGTAGGTAATGATGCTTGTCTTTCTATTTCATGGAACAATTTAAGGTGGGTTCATATTAGTTCCTGTTTAATGGTCTGAGAGAATTCAGCAGAGAATCCAACAGGTCCTGGAATTCTTTTTTGGGGGGAGACTCTTTACTGTTGCTTCAATTTTACTTTGTGTTGTAGATCTATTCAGGTGATTAATATCCTCTTGGTTCAATTTTGGATGGTGATAAGAATCTAGAAGTTTGTCCATTTCTTCAAGATTTTTCAAATTTATTAGAATAGACGTTCTCAAAATGGTCTCTGATGATTTATTGGATTTAATGGTGTTTGTTGTTATCTCCCCTTCTGCAAAAGGAGAAACAAAACAAAAACAAACAAATTTGTTTTTTTCTCCTCATTTTAGTCAGGTTGGCCAGGAGTCTGTCAATCTTATTTACTTCTTTTAAAGAAACAACTTTTTGTTTCATTGATTCTTTGTACAGTTTTTGTTGTTGTTTCTATTTCATTGATTTCAGATCATATTATTTTTATTTCTCTTCTTCTGCTTGTTTCAGGATATGCTTGTTCTTGTTTTTCCAGGAGTTTGAGATATAGCATTGAGTCATTGATTTGAGATCTTTCTGTACTTTTAATATGTGCACTCATGGCTATAAACTTTTCTTAGGACTGCCTGTGCTGTGTGCCATAGGTTCTGGTAGGTCGTGTTTTCATTTTCATTAGTTTCCAGAAATGTTTTATTTTATTCTTCTGTGTCATCAATGACCCATTGATCATTGAGCAATGTGTTTTTCAGCCTCCAGTTGTTGGCATGTTTTCTACTATTGCTTTTCTTGTTGAGTTCTAGTTTTAATGCATTGTGATCAGCTAGAATGCATGAGATTATTTCTATTTTCTTATATTTGATGAGTCTTACTTTGTGCCCAAAGATATGATCAGTTTTGGAGAAAGTCTCATGAGCTTCTGAGAAGAATGTGTATCAAGCAGAAGTTGGATGAAATGTTCTGTAGACATCAGCTAGGTCCATTTGATCTATAGTGTGATTTGTTAGTCTATTTCTTAATTGATTTTTTGTTTGGATGGTCTATCTATTGGTGATAGGGGGTTGTTAAAGTCTCCCACTACCACTGTGTTGGAATCTATATATGTTTTTAGCTCCTTCAGAGTGTGTTTGATGAAATTGAGTGCATTGACATTGGGTGCATATAGGTTGATAATTGTTATTTCCTTTTGGTGTATTTCCCATTTAATTAGTATGGAGTATCCTTCTTTATCTTGTTTGATCAATGTAAGTTTGAATTCTATTTTGTCTGAGACAAGTATTGCTACTCCTGCCTGTTTTGGGGGGGCCATTGGATTGGTATGTCTTCTTCCAGCCCTTCACCCTAAGTCAGTGCTTGTTTCTGTCGATGAGATGGGTCTCCTGTAAGCAACAGATTTCTGGATCTTCCTTTTTAATCCTGTTTACCAAATAGTCTTTTATGGGGGAGTTGAATCCATTAATATTCAGTGTTAGTATTGATAGGTATGTGGTTTTTCCTGTCATTTATTTTTTGTTGTTGTTGAAGGTTTGCTTGTCTGCAGTTGAATCAGTGTTACTCTCTGATTCCTTGTCTGGAACTCTCCTGTGGTTTGCTATTGCATATCCTTTCATGGTTTTGTTTGCTTTCATTTTCTGTATTCAGAATTTCTTGAAGAATCTTTTGTAGTGGTGACTTAGTGGTTATATAGTGTTTTAGTTTCTGCTTATCATGGAAGATTTTTATTGTTCCATCTATTTTGATTGATAGTTTTACTAGGTACAGTATCCTAGGGTTGAAGTTATTTTCATTCTGTGCCCAGAATATCTCACTCCATGCTCTTCTTACTTTTCAGATTTCCATTGAGAAATCTTCTGCAATTTTGATGGGTTTACCTTTATATGTTACTTGTTCTTTCTCTTTTATAGCCTTCAATATTATTTCTTTATTCTCTGTGCTTGTTGTTTTAATGATAATGTGTCATGGGTAGTTCTATTTTGGTCAAGTCCTTGGTGTCCTGGTGGCTTCCTGTACCTGAATGGTCATAGCTTTCTCTAGAATTGGAAAATTTTCTGTTATTATTTTTTTGAATATACTGTGAATTCCTTTTTGTTGCACCTCTTCTCCTTTTTCAATGCCCATGATTCTGAGGTTTGGTCTTTTGATGGAGTCAGAGAGTTCTTGCTTATTCCTTTCACAGGCCTTGTGTTGTTTGAGTAATAGTTCTCCAGCTTTTCCGTTAATTTCCATTTAATCTTCAAGTTCTGAGATTCTCTGTTCTGCTCTTGTTCTAGTCTGCTGGAGTGGCCTTCCATTGTGTTTTGTAATTTTGCTTCATTCTTTTTTCTGAGATTTTCCATGTCATGCGACACTTCCTCTTTAATATTGTCTATTTTGTCTTTAATTTGATTACTTCTCTGTTTATAGTGTTTGCTGTTTCTCTTTGGTGTTTACTTAGGGCTCCTAAAATTTCATATAGTTCCTCCTGTGTCTTCTCATATTCTTTATTTTGGTTATCTTTGAATTTCTTGAGTTACTAGACATGTGGGCTTCTTTGGGTTTCTTGGCATAGTTTATCTTTATTTTCTTGGATTCTGTAACTGGGTGTCAGTTTTTCATTTCCCTCTGAATGCTGTATTAAATTATTTTTGGGGGTAGATAGGTTTCCATCTCCTTCTTCCTATCACTTCCTTTGGTAATGTGTAACTATGTTCTTGATAGGCTATAGGTGGTTTCAGCCACCTGTTTTCTTTCACTTGGGTTAATTTTGTTTTGTGGTGTGTTGGGTTTTAGGTTAGTGTATGTATGCTGTTTCTGTCCCTGGTCTGTTTGCAATTTAGTATTAGCTATCTCACAATAGTAACACTAACAAAACAAAGAATGAAAAAAAGAAGAAAACCAAAGAAATCAACAGGAGAGTCGACAAACAAACAGGGAACAAAACAAACAAATGATCAAACAAACACATAAAAAATTCCAGGTTCAAGAAAAAAAGAATTTCAGTCTTAGTAATTCTGGAGTTACTCCTTCAACATCCAGTTCTGGTGTTGGTATTTAAACAGAAGGTCTCTTTAGTCTTGCCAGGTGGTTGGGGAGACTCACCAGTTTTTTTTTTTCCTGTCTTTCAGTGGCAGCTTCTTAGTCAGCTGCTCCTTCAGTAGGGTGTGTCTTTTCCTCAGGTTCTGGAGATCAGCTCTATAGTCCAGAAGCCATCCTGCTTCGGATTTGGGTTTTTTCTGTGTTGGCTTGTTGGAGGTTTGTTTCTTTGCTTCACTCCTTTTCTCAGGGGCGAGTCAGAGATCTGTCAGCTGGCTCCCAGCTGTCAACATGTTATTATGGTTTGGTCACTCTTTTTCAATTTTTCAATGTCATTTGACTTTGGATGTTGCTCACTGGCTAAAGAGATGAGCTTTGTTGACCTCTATTTGTCCTGTTTTAAGTAGCAGCTTATCACCCACCTGCTGTTGTCCCAGCTACCATTCCAGTCTTTGTTCACTGAAAGTTCGTGTGGAGATCAGCTCCTTACCACTCCCCCTTTCTCCAATGTGCACAGCACCCTGCCCCCTCTGCTGCATATTCCTTCTCAGTTCCTTGTTTATTATTCAGTTTTTATTTATTTATTTTTTTTTGTGGGACAGTGGAGTCAGTCTGTGCAGGGGAGCTATGCTGGTTTATCCCAGGGGTGGTTGTGTGAATACCATGTGACACTTATTTGCTCCCCTGTTGGTCTGCTGGATGTCTCCCAAGGCAGGTTTGGAACCACTGTTTGGTGGCACAGGAGCCCTCCTGTTTTCTCAGTCTAATGTGGCACAGAGAAACTTTGCATGGGCTGGGGGTTCAGGGTGTCATTGTTTTGATTCTTCTTGGTGCTTTTTTTCCTGCCAAGTGTGCTCCATCATCTCAGCAATATATTTGATTTATGGAGCTCATGCTGTCTGCTTCTGCACTACAGTTTGTTTTTAAGATGAGATTTCCCTCACATTTCACGGACTCATCTTGAATTTGCAGTCCTACTGTGTTTGACTCCAGAGTAGCTGTGATTAAATGAATTACCACCACATTCCACAAAAAGTTGTCAAGTGTAAAAAAAATGTGTTGAATTTTTTAGTTGGAAAGAATTTGTTGCAGTTTTTTCAACTCAAGGCACCTTAGGATTTTCATACTTCAAAAAGTTCAGTTGGGCAGTGAAAAACAATTTTGCAGTAGAGACAAGCATTCTTGTGTTTACATTTTCTGTGTAATATGTGCAAAGGTGATGATTTATTGCACTTAACAAGGAAGGAAGGATAGACACCACAGTTGGGGGTGTTTGGTGGAGAAGGTAGGGATGTGCTCGATTCAGTTCCAGCAGCCATGGAATACCAGGAAAGTGAAATAAGTGCAGCTATTTTCTTTGAGCTTTGTCCTTAGAAGCTTCTCCTGTTGGGAAGACATTCATATACTCATTAAATCAGTGGAATAAATATTGAAAACAATGTGTTTCAAAACACTTGTTGATAGATCACACACATGTAAACTAAATTATATTACAAACTGCCATATTTCTTCATCTTTTCTGAACATTTCGGTTTAACAAAAACACATAGAGTTCCAATTTCTCCAAATGATAATTTTTAACTTGAAACTATCCTATGGAGAAAATTGGTGAGGTTATTTTCCTAAAACTATATGTAGAGTATCACTTTATGCCACACTTTTTCACTTTGGAATTCAAAGGTGATGTGATGACACAAAGATGGAAAACTCATAGCATTTTCTTTGAACAAATACACTAAAGTCATTTACAAAATTCCATTAGCCACCTGTTATATAAGTCTGTGTTCCCATTGTCCAGATGAGGGACCAAAAACTATCCTTGAATGTGTAAGTGCAAAGAAAACATATTCAAAGAAATGAACTTAGTTGTTCTTCATGTTACAAATGTTAATATAAAGACAATGGTGCTGAGCAAAGGGAATTGTGAAAGGTAAAAGGTAAAATTTCAAGCTCAAGTTTG